ACTTGTTCTCAATTTCTTTTACTAATTATATTTTATTTAAAGACTATTTACATTGTATGTTTTAACTTTTTATTATCTATGTTTTAACTACTGGTATTTATAATATACAGTATTTTAAAAATATTTATAGGCTATATGTATTTGTATACACTATATTTAATAACTATTTTAACTGTATTAACAGGACATATTTTAAATATTTATTTAATATGTTATTACTATTTTTTAACTATTTTTAATCTATTTGGGCAATATTATATCCACTATTTATTATCTATTTTTAACAAGCTGGGATGTATTTTAACTCTTTATTATCTATTTTTAAACTATATTATCACCATTTTTGAGCTATTTATTATCTATGTTTAAACTATAATATCACTATTTTTGAACTATTTATTATCTATTTTTAAACTATAATATCACTCTTTTTCAACTATTTATTGACTATTTTAAACTTATTTGAAACTCATTTCAACTATTTATTACATATTTTATACCTATATTGTCACTATGTTTTAACTATTTCATACATATTTATTAACTATGTCGAAACTATATATTTTTAATAATTTCCTTAAATAGCTCTATTTTTATCATATTTGAAACCTATTTAATTTCTATTCGAGTACATCAATTAAGTATTTGTTTAGAAATATATCATGAATAGGAAAAAAATATGGTTCCACTTGGATAGGAAAAAAATAGCCTTCCTACCCTAATTTAAATAGGAAAAACTTCGAAAAAAAATAATAGTAAAATAGGAAATAAATACTTTGACAAATAGGAATTAAATAGCCCAATAAAATAGGAATTAAATAGCAATTAAATAGTGTTTGATTCTACAAGGGTACTCACCTGACACAGGCAGATTTAAAAGACAATTACCATCAAGTGTTTCTTCCCCTGATCGCAGTCCACAAGTTAAAAAAGGTATCAGAGTTAATAACGAACGGGAAGGTCGATGTTGTACACCAAGAAAAAGTTTAATATTTTCGAAGGAAACAAAAGCACAATCTGTGCTATCAGCTCTCGAGAATGAAACATCAGACGAAATCCTCTCAAGATTAAACGTAGAAGAGTTGTTAGACAATAACACTACTGAAGTGAAAGTTGTGATTATTGATCCAAGTAAGCCTTTTAAAACCTACAGCAAATTTGGAGGAGATACTAAACGCTTGCTTATAAACATCGTGCGGAAAAACTGGGTGACTGCGTCTAATATTATTTTCCGACATCCAGAACTTAAACCTGAACTTCTTGGCCCTATTCGCAGAACTGTCAGAGACGAATTTGCGGCATATTGTGGCAACAAATCGGAATCGATACTTCTTGGAAAATCTCCAGGGTGCATGCAACGCTAATACAGTCAGTCGTAAAAGAAATGTAAAGGCTACTAATTCTATGGCTTTGATTTCTGGTATTGCAGCAAGATGTAGAAATCAAAAGATGTCTGCACTTGCATACAAAATTTCTACGATCTTGTTTCATAGTGGAGTGAAACACCAAGACTTGATTCGTTTGCAAAAGCTTGGCCTGTGCATGTCACCGAATTCTATTATCAAGTTCCAGAAAGAGATTGGAGAAAATAGTGAAGCCAAAATTTATCACTGGAAAAAAGAAATAGAAAAGAATGCTTTGGCGAAGTTGTTGCTTGATGAGGTAAAAAAAAAGCAAATTGGAATATGTGATGAGAATGATATGATGGTTGATTCAGTAATTGATTTTTCAGAAGAAACTATAATGAGTTACAATCACTACAAACCACATTTGTTTCAGTTTTGTGCCTCTCTTCTGGACTCTGGTGCGAAAGACAATTTAACTGATGATGATTTATATGCTGCCTTATTCAAGCTTACTAGTGAAAAACTTCCTCACTACAGGTAGGCTATGTTTTGTTAGTTTCATTTTTTAGCCTTCACATATGACTTATGGACCAGTCAGAATAAATCCCCCCCCATACCAGAGAGGGAGGGGACTTGGTGGGGAAAGTGGTAATTTTTTATTGTAAATATGTCCCCAATAATGGGGGACTTGGACAACATTTTCTTTTTTACTACCCCTCTAAGTCAATTATTCCTGCCTTCTCCAGTTGAGGGGGGGGGAGGCTGTGTTTTACGCCGAACGGTACATTATCTAACAGCCTTTACTGTAATACCAAATTTGCCTTGATTTTTCTAACACTTTACAGTAAGATTACCGCAAACGGCAAATCTCAAATAAAAGTTTGAGGTTAAATGCATGAATTAACAACTTACTTGTAGCTGTTGAAAACTTGATTATATATATATATTCATTTGATGCTTTTTTAGATTGGTTGGTGACAACATAGATTTTGTGATACATGCACGTATCCAAAGTGAGATGCATACCAATAAAGATATACACTGGACCCGAGAGTATACAGTCGTTAATAAAGTGAATGAACCATTTATGTCCACAATGACCCCACAGAAACCCCCAAAGGAAATACAATTAATCAACTTGCTTCCTGTTAAGCCTGTTCAGGAGAGGCTAATACAAAAATGGGCAGTATTGACAAGCAGGGTAATATGCAAGTACATGCTAAAGTTTCAACATCTGAAAGATGTTGTCATTTATCACATAGCCCACAACTACTCCAAGGAAATGGCATCTAAATCAGCAACTGTAAGTAGTCCTGTTTTTCAGTTGTATGGTACGGTGTGTGTCGAATTTTGGGCATATTGTTAATTGAACGACTGGCTTTGTTTTGCATCTTAGGTATTTATGTAAACAATATTCAATATAATTGTTTTTGTTTGTGGATACACCACGTAAATTTATTACTGCAATTTATTATTTATTTACGTGGTGTTTCCACAAACAAAAACAATTATATTTTATCGCCATGCAAACATTCAAAGAACTTAATATTCAATATTTATTAAGAAACTGCACCATTTACAAAAGAAAAAAATACATATAATTCACAAAGAGATTACAATCCAAATTAATACTCATTGATGACTACTTTAACGTTCAAATATACATATTAATATATTAATATATTAATATTGAGCTTAATATTTTGTATCACAATCTATTTTGTATTTTTGTTAATAACGTTTTATTTGTTGTTCCCAATTTATATACATGTATATTCTCATCCAAGAAATATGCCCAAATAATTAATAAAATTTTTTTGTTCAGTATTAATTTATTTTAATTAAATAATACTACAGCAAATTGAAATTGCTAAATACTGAACAAAAAAAAACATTTTATTAATTATTTGGGCATACTGTATACCATGACTACGTAATGGTATCCTGGAAATTCATAGATAATTTATTTATAGCCCAATATTTAATATCAATTTGTATGTACAAAATATGAAAATTAGTAACAGGCCAAGTGTAGAGCCTTTTATAGTGTTTCTGATTCTGTACAACCTATTTTTTCTGATTCTGTACAACCACATGACACGAAGCCAGTTGTGGGTTTTGATGGTTAGATTAAATAGATCATGAGCAATCGGCTTAACAAAGGTAAAGCAAACTGTCAGGTGCACAGGATAACATTTTGGCTATGATTGAATAACAATCACAGCAATACAGACTATACATTGTACAGCTAAAGTACAAGATCGAATGTGACCAGGGTTGGTAAGTTAGATGAATAATTAGGCCAAATTGTCATTAGTGCCATTTAGAAAACAAAGAAAACAAAAGGCCAAGACAAAGAAAACATTTTAATAGGCCTAGTGTGATGATGTTTGGCCTAATTATTCAGCAAACCTACCAACCCTGAATGTGACCACTGCAATGTCTTAGGATTATTATATTGTTACTGTTGTACATGTATTATTTGTTACAGTGTTGCCTTGGTCTACAGTTCCATAATCCGAACGTTGCAAGTGAAATGGCTCAGTTTCTTATCTCAAATCATGAAAAATATGTGCCATGCTATGGAGAGACAAATGGCGTCATTCTCACAGTTCCATTACATGGTGATCAACTATTCGAAGAGAGGGCCAGAAACACCCAATGGACCTATCAAGATGGAAATAACTTAAGTGACAAACTTCAAGGACTTAGAACTGAGTTTGCAGATTGGCATGCAAAACTTAATTTGTATATGGTTTGTTGAATAATTTTTATATAAAAAATATTCAAATTACATCATCCTCTCATCAATTACAGAACAACATTTTGATTTTCGGTGCATAAAACAGTATATCACATTAAAGTCTAAAGAAACTAGAAACATGATTTAACCAATTAAGGGCCACAGGCTCACTCAGGCTACTAATTTGGCTAATTGTGTAGCATTCTCCTCTTAATGGATTAAATTATTGCTATAAATTTAAGAGAAATGCTGCTGTTTGTTTTTAATTTTCAGAGCATCAGTATAAAACTGATGATGGATCACAATAGTTTATGTGTTCTTTCATTAAGGTTGAATTTGACAAATTTGTTTCAAATGCATCAGCATCTGACATTGGCACCTCTCGCGCAAACATGAATAGAACTGGAAAGTACAATGCTGCGAAGGGAGGTGAACGCCATTACAACGAATATAAAGAATTTCATCAACGTGAAATTGAGGCCCACATTTGTGCATCATTCATGGAAATGTCTGGAATGAATAACTTATCAGGTACATGTATGAAATTTATTATTAACCCTTTTAATGGCAGTGTGCCCTTATGTTCCCTACCTTATTATTTTACTCTGTCTAATGCCAGATGATTTTAATATTCAAGGGGAGATTGCAATAGTGAGTGCCACTCAATGCATTAATCATTTGCCCATGCATCCTATTAACCCTTTAAGTGGTAATGCACCCTCATGTTCCCTACATTATTTTCCTATGTCTAATGCCTAAAGGGGTTATACTGTATATAGATTTATTTAGTAACATAAATTAATACATAAATTGCTTACAAATGACATGGGAAATTTATATAAATTTTATTAACTCTAAGCTCATTTTTAACATTATAAATAAATATTAACTCAGCCACTAATTGGGATTGCACCCCTAATAGTATTTACTATCAATGTGAAACATCAAACATTGTCATTTGACAAGGGTTAAATTGCTGCTTAATGGTTTTTATAATTAAAAGCTACTCTGATTTTTAAATGCCATAATTTAAAGAAGTCACAGGTAACAACCCAATTATAACACTATAAATGTCTATTGTCTTCATCAGGAGCGATCATATCCTACTGTAACATATTTACTGTATTAACATGTACAAACTAAAGTACAATTATATTCTGTTGTAATGGCTTACTATTATAATTTATTTACCATAGATGCACCAATTATGATGTTCCTAATACAGATGTCCCAAGAGAAGACAGAAGGAAATGGTTTTTGGAGCTGTGTGTCCAATATGTCAACAAATTTCTTATAAATTTTGAAGTTGAGCCTTTTCTGCAAGCTTCAACTGATACATTCCCTTGCCGAATTGAAGGATGTACTAAGATGTATGCCCACCATTCTATGCGTGTCAAGTATGTATATTCAATCCTGTACTGTAGTTATTAATTATATTTTCCATTTCCCTAATAGATCACCCCTATTAGTTCCCAACCACTTCTTTTATAGTATTACTCTTTTTAACAACAGATGATTTTACTCGTCAAGGGATAAACTTTAGGACTCAAATGGTTATAACTATACCTAATTTGTATGTTGACATCACAGCCATAAGTTAACAAATTCCAATTCGAGTCAAGATATTTTAATATTTTAAATATATTTTTAGACATGAAGTCACAAGTCATGGACGTGTGTTTGAAAAATTTGAATTAAGTGAGAGAGATTCCTTAGGTTTCTATCATTGTAGATTCTATTGTGGACTTGTTTTTTCAACAACATCTATTAGAAACAGGTACTAAATGTCATAATTTAACAGAAAATACTCTGTACCCAAAATTTGACTGAACACCTTAGAGAATAAACTTGTCGAGCAATCCAGCATTATATATTCAGAACAAAATGCTAACCATATCCAGCTTCCATTATACTTGAGTTAAGCAAGGGCTAACCCATTAAGTTATAAATAGTAGCAGGAATGAATTTTTATACTTGCACCATTGCCCTTATTGAGTTAAATACATCACTGTCTGGTGCGATTTCAATGTAAAATATTCCATTAGTATCTGTTAGTAACACTTTGATATTGTTATTTTAGACATGAAAGTTCAAAGCACCCAGAATCACAGTTGTCTCAACAGCAGGGAAGTCAACAGAGTGACACAGAAAACCAAACACCTGATGAAGACTACCTGTTCAACTATCATAATTCCAAGCTTTCATTTGGCCTCATTCTTATGGAATTCAATGACGCAATAAAAGAAGGAGATGGTGAACGGTTGCATGACTTGTATAAATTTGCCCTAGTACTGTTCAAAGCCCATGGAAAGGTCAAGTACTCTTATGCAATTCTAATGTATTTAGTGCAAATTGAGAGTTTTCTGTCTGAAGCAGATGCACACAATCTCAAGTGGAATCGCTTCTATAATAATCATGGAAGAGTTGGTGGAAACATACCACTTGATCTAAGGATGGAACAATTGAACAAAATTGTCAAAACCATGTGGAGATCACTTGGAGCAAATCTGAATGAAAAGTCTGCCACACGGCTGGCCAATACCATAGAACCTATGGAGCAAATTTTGAATACTATTGACAGGGAGTGTGAAATAACTGACAGTGCTGGATTTCGATCAAAAGGGAAGCCAGAAACAGCTATTGAAATCATTAGTAAGGACTTGTTGAAGATAAATGCATTTAAGTATGAAGCTGGGAGGAAAGGACACCCATCATATCCTAACATTTCTTCAAATTTGTTGAAAGGCCTTGACTACAGGGATTTACATACCTGGATTAAAGGACATATAAAAACTTGGGAATCAGTTTATGAACTAAATACATAATAAAAAGATCAAATAATAAAGTGGGGTGCATTGCCAATTAAAGGATTAATAGGGTTAAGATTATTATTAATATTAGTAATAGTAAAATGATGATAGATATATGTATGAGAGATTGGGCTAATTATTACATTTAAAAACCAAAGCCCCCTCTATTGCATGAAGACCTCTGCTTTTGTTGATTATTACCCCTTTGGAATGCAACAAAATTTGTGTAATTGACCCCTTCCCCCTAGCTCTGAAAGTACATTTTTACATTTTAACCCTTTTGGAAACAGCATTTTACTCTCATTTTCTTTGGAACTCAAGGACCTTAACAGGGTATTTGATGCTACAATATAACAAAGGTTGGCACCTCTTAGAACTGGTAAATTTTGTAAGTTAAGTTTATGAACATAACAGATACCTGTAAATACTGTATATGACATAAGTTGCATATTATTGTGGTAAACAGATGTGCATGTAATATAAGTGTGTTGGTATAAAGTGTGTACTATGCCATTTCTGTTACCATTTTTCACTACATGTTGATATTTAAAATGTCCGAATGTATTAACAATCATGGCATTTTAACAAAGAAATGTGATTATTGATAATCTTTAACTAAGAGTAACATCTTAGTAGTGGTGTAACTTCACTTTTTTGACCACTTGCCCTCAAGGCAAGTTGGACATGAAAATTAGTTGCCCTAAATAAAATTCACTCGCCATCATACAATGGCCACTGGGGTACCTACATTAGGTACGGGTATAAATTAATTAAGGGGCAAGTCATGTCAACCTGTTCACAAGCTTGCCCAATCAGGCAATATTCACTTGGCCCTGGCAAGCAGGCAAGTGTTAAGTTACACCTCTGCTTAGTACAGTATATATTATCTTAATACGTACATCATTCATCACTTAAAATATCCAGATCCTCAAATTCAGGATCCACTTCAAGATAACCAGTTGTGCTAATGAACTCATTTAATATTGTAACATGGTTTATTGTTTGCTGTTGGTCAACAGCCACTTCACGTATAAGTGCACACTCATCAATGTCGTCAAATATTTCACTAAATATGCCTAGGATCTTGGTGACATGGGTTTTTGAAAAGATAGGTACAAGATGATAAATGTCATCTTCTGTGAAAATGCAGTGACAGTTGGATACAACATCAGATATAAGTTCTTGTGAGAAACCATGGCTAGAAGTAATGCCAAATGGTGACATTGTGGGAGCAAACATACCTTTCATTAGCTCTTGCAATGATTCTGACAACAAATGTTTGTCTTCATCAGAAACTATTCTGGACTGATGATTCTGAAAGATCTTTTGAACAGCCAGTGTCTCAAAAGGTTTTGCTGGTTCAGCACATCCATCAGAAATACAAGTACAAGTTCCAGCACAATAATTACAGCACAGGTGTGCAGGCAATAGGGCAGTAATGTGTGTATCAAAAGCTACATAACCTGCAATCCGATAACAGCCAGTTGTATTGACAAATTGTCTTACATCATCGTCACAATGGGAAACTTGTAGACCATAAAAAACAATCACAACATCACTCTGCAATCCATCTCTTCCACCACGACCTGCTTGCTGATGTAAATCTAAAAGACTTCTTGGTAGCCCAAACATAATTACATAACGGATATTCGGGAAGTTTACACCCATACTTAGTGAAGTAGCTGCAATAGCAATCCTCTTTGTTCCATCACCTTTCAGGGAACTAAAGAGTCTCTTTTTATATTCTTTCTGAATAGCAGAATGCATTATTCCAACAATACAATGGTCCCTGTCCCGAGACTCTTTTGGCTCAAATGCATTACACCCCAATTGCATCATCAAATAATTGGCAAACGCTGGCAATAGTGTACATGGTGTCACAAAATATGATAGTTTTAGGCGTGTTTATGCCATATTCTTCTATCAAGCTGATCAACCAATTCAATTGGGCAAGCATGTCATCCTTTTTCACTTTATGCACAGAAAATCTAAGATTTGGACGGTTTGGACTTACAAATAATTTGGTTGGCTCCTTTAACAGAAGTTCATTGCAAATAGTATCTTGAGTGCTTTTGTCTCCAGTTCCAGTTAAAGCCAACAAGGGACAATCTAAAATAAATATATAAATAATGGTGTATTAATTCACATCAACCAGACTCCATGTATACATGAAACAATAAACTTTTTCTGCATTCAAATGGTACATTGTTTGAGTCGGCTTGTATCGAAAGGATGAAACTTTTTCTTATCCCACATCATCACAAAATTAACAAACAGCATGTGGCATCATTTCCCAAGCATTTGCTTAATTAAATTATGTGTTTAATGTTTCTACTAGTCATACAGTAATTACTTTAATACTGCATGGGAATATGTTTCAGTGTTTTGAACTTCTGGGACAGGTGACTTGCTGAAGAGAATAAAATAATTTGGTAAAATTGCTTACCTTTTTTGCACATCGAACGCAGAAGTGAGAGTTTTCCGAAAGCGCTTCTAAATGCCTTGTTCATATTTGCTTTCTTACATTTATTTTTCCTAAAATTTACACATAATATGCATGATTTAATTGATGATTGTGATGTTACTCTGAGTGTATATCCACACCGGGCAAGCTTGAAAAATATGCCTGACCACGGTGGGAATCGAACCTACGACCTTTGGAATACTAGCCAAATGCTGTACCAACTGAGCTACGCGGTCTGGTCGGTTCGAATATGTGATATTTCGGAACAGAATCTACTTCCTTCAATATCAATATAATCTAATAATTATGATTTTTTTCTGTGTTGGTGTAATGTATTCAGGTGAGTATGATGCTTGTGATGTTACCCTGAGTGTATATCCACACCGGGCAAGCTTGAAAAATAACCCGACCGCGTACCTCAGTTGGCAGAGCATTGGGCTAGTATTCCAAAGGTCGTAGGTTCGATTCCCACCGTGGTCAGGCATATTTTTCAAGCTTGCCCGGTGTGGATATAACATCACAAGCATCATACTCACCTGAATACATTACACCAACACAGAAAAAATCATGATTAAATTGTTGGCATTTGTTGCAAAATAAACATTTTTAAAACATCTTCCCATGAAGTATGTCACGCTGGGTAACTTTCCAAATTACAATTTTTAATTATCAAACTCATCGATTCAGAGCCAATTATAATTACAATTTTATCATATTGTTTTGTTAAAGCTCTGGTTAAAACTGTTGCAATTTATACGACAGACCACTGAATCTCGAACTTTCAATATTTTAATATACATTTATTTTGTTTGTGCATCATTCTTAAATATCATTCTATTCGAACTCGAAATCTCGAGTATGTACTTTTACCTTTTCCCTGTCCACGTTTCCACAGTGTGTGATTCATCTACAACGATCGACGCTGTACGTTGATGTAGGAGACTACAGTCATCCTTCAGCGCCTCAAGAAATGCTCGTTCCGTAGCGCGTTCTGCACTGGAGTAAATAAAGTTTGGTGGAGAATGTATGACATCTGTTAAAGTTAGTTCAGTAAGCTCTACAGCATTAAAACCAAATGATTCCATCTGCGCTATCTGGTCTGCAGCTATGCTGGTAAGAGGAGAGATAACTAATATGCAAATCGAAGTATCTTTCTCAAGTCGTCTGAGCATAGCCTGCTTCGCGAGAGCGAACACTGTAAAGATCATGCTCTTTCCATAGCCAGTTGGCAAGATAGCCAGAACATCTTTACCCAAAAGAAGTTTTTCTATGGCAATTTCTTGCTTTTCTTTCAAAACAATATCTCGCCTTAAACACTTCAACGCTTCGGTCAAACATTCTTTTATACATAAAATCGAAGACATGTTCAAACCACTGATCTGAAGGTTGTAACTGTAAACTTGTTATATATACAATGTGAACATTTGGTTAATGGTTGACATTTAACCGTTGATTGACAACTACATAAAAATACTAACCAATCCGTTTTTCCCGTTCACCAGCGGACGGGTAATTCAAAAACCCCTAGTTTTGCGGCAGACGGTGTTTCCTTTGCTTCCCTAATTTTCGCTGCCCGTAGAAATACCGCCTGCCATGCAGGCTATGGTTGGTTCAGCTAGTCCTCGTGCACCGAATGATAAATACTCTACCCAAAGGTATAGAGTTTGACGGGATCTGAGGTACACGGCTGTTGTCTTTTTCTCGACTCAGAGACGTGCAGCGTTTTCTAGTCGAAAAGTAGATGTGGGGTTTAACTTTTGTTACAAATTCAAGGTATCTAACTCCATAGTGACCTCTAAAAGTGGTCACTATGGAGTTAGATACCTTGCATTTTTAATTGGGCATTCAATTCTATTCATCAACCCCGCTTTTCCCTGTGGAGATATCAAATCCCTCCCCTTGCTTTTAAGTTCTTACCCAAATAAAACCCTATTGAGAACAATAGATATCCGCACAAATATGAACTAAGAGTAACTAGGCATTTGATAACTGTCGTTGTGGAAACATCGGGACATGGGAAAACAAATGGGAACCTAGAGTATTCATCAATGACATTCAGAAAGTACTTGTTCCCGTTAATGGTGGGTAGTGGACCTTTGAAATCTATGTTGATTCTTTCAAATGGTCGAGTGGCTTTGATGAGAGGGACCTTTTGAGGCTGGTGGAACTGTGGTTTACATTCACAACATACACGGCAGCTGCTTGTGACTTTCTTGATTTCATCCAAAGAATAAGGCAGGTTCTTGGTTCGCACAAAATGGTAAAGTTGGGTTACTCCTGGATGACAAAGTGACTCATGAAGCAGACTCGTCCCCAGTCGCTTTAAGAGCGGGCGCGCGGCCAGAAGTGGGCGCGTAGAGGCTCACGGCAAGGGCGAAAGAAGAAAATTTAGCGACTGGCAGATTACTGTGATTTTTCTTGCAAGAAATTGATTTTCTTGCAAACTAATATTTTATGCTTCAATTTTGGATTTTTTGACATTGGTATACATAAATCGATCATTTTATGATGTAGTCTCTGCAAAGTGCGTATTTTTATCAAGTATATCGGCCTTAAATTGGTCAAGTCTGGAGTACTTCAAAATGGCGGACTCTGATGAACTTAGATGGTGAGTCTAAAAGATAATATAATACATTCCACCACTTGAATGTCTTGAATTTGTTGACCCTTTGAGCCGTAGCATAAATTTGCGTATACTAAAGAAATTAAGAAACTGAAATTCATTATACGCTCGGCTGATTAGCGCCATGTTGCCTTGTTTCAAGTTGTAATTTTTGTCGTTCTGAACTATAGACTTCAATTCCATAAATTCAGATGAATGTCCTAAGACCAGCACTCCTAGAACTCCTAAAGCGAGAAAGTTACTGCCATTTGACGTCAAACACGACCTAACACCAGATTCTAAGAGTCCGGGATTATCAAGAAGGCAAGAACTAAATGCAGGAAAGTTGTTCAAGGTTGGAACTTGTATTTTTAATAAGTCACTTGTTTGAATGTGCAGGTGATGTTGGCACATTTGTTCCTGGAAATCTTCAGGGCTCTTTAAAGACTATATGCATCAAAACAGATGGGTTGAGACTTAAACAGGAGGATGTTGTTACTGATGATCTTAGTGTAAAAAGCCACCTTTCAAGAGCTTTGGCAGCCATATTTCCTAACTGTGAAAAGAAAAGGCTGATGCAATACATGATCAATCCATATGCAATACATGATCAATCCAATTCATAACATTGTATTACAAATGACATAATATTTTTATATTTGTCTGGTATATTGTGTTTTGGTTAATCTTCCTCAGGATGCTACGTCACAGAATAAGGTACACAGAAGGCCGACTTCTTGGGTTTTCCTATGATTTAGGCGTAACCTGTAATTCGTCATCAAATGCTAACGCCATGGTCCTAGCCAGTGCGCGTTTGAGAGGCATTCACCCCCTGATATTATTCAAAATGGCGAACGTCCAGGGGGGAATGCCTCTTAAACGCGCACTGGCTAGGACCATGGCGTCAGCATTTTGATGATGAATCATGGTGTGGCAGTGGTTACTTGAGTCGACCTTCTGTGTGCCTTATTCTGTGGCTACATGCCCCTCACTCACCTTCCCCCCCTGAATTTTTCTGCACAACCACCCACCCCCCACCATGCAGATAACATATGAAAGTATAAAGCTTTATTAAGTTAATATAATAGACATGCTCCACTACATCATGTACATTAACTGTAATTATAATACATTTTAGTTTTAAATTAATTTAAAATTATTCACTGTTAATAATTCCATTGAAGAAGTCCAATTAAAATGGTTCAAAATTAATCCAGCTTTTGTGTCTTCAATTTCCATACATCTTGCTTGGTACTGCAGTATTTTGCCACCCAGATCAAGATTAACCCTTTAAGTGGCAATGCACCCTGATATGCAGACTCTTCCCCAGTCACTTTTAATTAAATATAATTCCTCTTTATTAGCATTTCTTTTTTTGTATTCGACAATATTCATTCAATTCTCAGACGGCTGAAGAAAAAGAGCGGGCTCGCAGGCTGAGTGGAGTGGGCGCATAGAGGAAAAAAATTAGTGCATGACTGGCAGATTACAGTGTGTTTTCTTGCAAGAAAGTGTTTTTCTTGCAAGAATCGATGATTTTATGATGTTGTCTCCGCAAAGTGTGTATTTTTATCAATTATATCGGCCAATTATAGATCATTATATCGGCCTTCCTTTTTTACTATCGGTCAAGTCTGGAGCACTTCAAAATGGCCGACTCCAATGAAGATTTCAATGCCTCATTCTGCTCCATGAATTTAGATGGTGAGTCTAAAAGTAATATGATATATTCTACCACTTGAAATTTGTTGACCCTTTGACCCGAAGCATAAATTTACGTATATAAAAGTTAATTAAGAAACTGGAATTTATTATACGCTCGGCTGATTTTAATAATAGCGACATGTTGCCTTGGCTCAAGACTAATTTTTGTTGTTCTGTACTATATACTCCAATTCCATAAATTCAGATGAATGTCCTAGAACTCCTAAAGCGAGAAAGTCATTGACATTTGATGTAAAACACGACCTTACACCAGATTCGAAAAGTCAGGGATTGCCAAGATCTAAGTGCAGGAAAGTTGTTGAAGGTTGGTTGTATTTTATTAAGTCACTTCAAACGTCCTTCAGCACAGCACTAATATAATTGTTTGAATGTGCAGGTGATGTTGACACATTTGATCCTGAAGATCTTCAGGACTCTTTGAAAGATATATGCATTGAAAGAGAAGGGGAGAGAGTTAAGCAAGAAGATATATTGGACATACTTGGTGTTACTGATGACCTGAGTGCAAAAAGCCGCATTTCAAGAGCTTTGGTTATCATGTTTCCTAACTGCGAAAAGAAAAGGGTGTTGTGCGAACATAAACAAATATATCCTTTTTACATGTGTAAAAGGCTGATGTGAATATGCAATATATTATCAATTCATTACATTGTATTACAAATGATCGATATAATATTTTTATATTGGGTCGTTCCAGAAAAGAACCATACTCCCCCACGGAGGAAATTTCTGCCGTCCGGAGGGGGAGGGGAGAAAAAATTGTTTCTGATAATAGTAAATGTATTAAGACATCCGAAAGGGGTAGGGGGGTTAACTTCCTATTTTCTCCATGGGG